GAGTGTAGCACCGGAGGAGGGTCCTTTTTTCTCCGCTTGTCTACGTTGCCGGGTCCGTTCAATGAACTGATGCGTAGCTGCAAGTGTGCACGAAGTGTTGTGTGTGTGCGTGTGTGTGTGTTTCTCTCTCTCTCTCAGCATCGCAGTGTGTTGCTTCTCTGTCGGTGTGCTTGGGCTGACTCTGCCGCGTGCGTACTCCCGCCTCTGCCTTTGCTCCTTGTCTCGTTTTTGCGTCGTTGCTGCGCAGGCTTGGCGGTGCGCCGCGGCTGCCGGGGACCTGCTAGGGCGCGCCGTGCATGCGGTGCGTGTGCAAGTTGTGCGTGCCTTGTACGTGGCCCTCCGCCGCGCTGCCGCGGGCGTCTGTCCGTCGGGTGGGCGCGGCGTCGTGCGCCGTTTGGGGTGCGGCGGCGGCGGCGCCTGCCGTGCGTGGCAGCTTCACAGTTGGGGCGGGGGGCCGCCGGGGCGGGTGTGCGCCCCCAAACCGAGGCGCAGCCGCTGCCGCGGCGCCCCGTGGGGGGTGGCGCCGCTCGGCGTCTGCTGCGTGGGAGAGGGGCGCTGCGCGGCGGCGCCTGGCGGCAGCGGCGGGCCTCCGCAGGGAGGTTGTGCTGACCCCGGCGACGCTGCTGAGGCGGCTGGAGATCATTTTTCCCCCGGCCCCGGACGCGGCGTCCGCCGCAGCGGGGGCGGCGTGCCGCGGCGGAGCGTCGGAGTCCCACGATGAGCGCCCGCCGGTGTTGTCGGGGGGTTTGGCGGGTGCGCCTGGGGGTGTGCGTGCGTGCTGTCGTCCGGTGCCGTGGGAGCGCGTTGTGCTGCGCCGCGCTGGGCAGGCGCCGGCGTGCGACGTGAGCCGCCAACGCGCATCGGGGGCGCTGCACACCGCCTCCGCGGTGTACGACGTGCTGGTTCCCTCCCCCTTTCTTTTCCTGCCCGGCGTGGACGCGGGCGATGCCGACGGTGCGGCGGCCCCGTCTCTTGGCGCCGTGCGCGCCGCTGCTGCGACGTGCCGCTGCCCTGGCCGTGACCGCGCGCTTCTCCCCCCCAGCCGACGCCGCGGTGCCGAAACGCGCCCTGCGTGGTGCCAGCGGGTGGGTGTGCTGCACCACATCCCGGGGTTGCCCGACCCGTCTGCGCCGGCGCTGACGTTGCGGGAGTACGCGGATTTCGCACAGTCTTTCTCACAGCCCGTGGAGGGAGGGGCAATGCACTGGATGACGGCGTGTGGACTGAGCAACCGCGACGCGCCGGATCGCGGCGTCGGGCGGCGACTGGGTGATGCCAAGCGGGACGGCGCGCATGGGCGGCGCGGGCAGGGTGCGGGGTGCCGCGGGCTCCACGGCGCAGTGGGCGTGTGGATCGTCGACCCCTGGCGCGAGAGCGTCTTCTTCGCCGTGCGCTACCGCCTGGGCGCGGAGCACTACGAGTGGGTGCGCCGTCCACAGCACACCTTTGGCCAGGAGGGCGGCCCCGCGCCTGCCGCTGCTGCGGCGGGCCTGCCCCCCGAGCCCAGCGGGGTCCTTTCGTCGGGTGTGGGGAGGGGCCGTGGGGCGCCCTCCTTCGCCTGGGCGAGGGCGGCGGTGCGGCAGGCGATGGTGGCGTCCGCGGCGTCGCCTGCACGCGGCACGCCGGCGCCACGGCAGCCAGCGAAGCGGGGGAGGCGGAGGGAGGAGCAGGTGCTGTCCACGGTGCTGTACTATTGCGTTGCCGGGACGGCGCTCACGGCGGCGGAAAAGGCGGCCTTTCTGACGCGGCTGTTGGGGGGCGCGGGGGCGGAGGCGGAGAAGGGCCGGGGCGGCGACGGCGTGGCGCGGCTGGCGAAGGTGTGGGCCCCGCTTCCGCGGTCGGCGCGTCTGCTGCGTGGCCGGCAGGTCCTGGCAGACGCCGCCGCGCTCGCGGAGGCGATGAAGTACGGCCTGCTGCGCCTCCTGCCGTGACCCCCGCCCTTCCCGTCGGTGCACTTGGGCCGCGTGCCCACTGCGGCCCGGCCGGATCTCACGTTTTCTTTCTTCACAGGTTGGCTGCCATGTCTGTTTGTCACGGAGCGGCGGAAAAGTGTCATGCGAAGACTTTTTCGCGTGTTATTTTTTTTGTTTTATTCGTTTCTTCGCCCCCGGACTTCTTCTCCCTCCTTTTTTTCTTTTGTTTCTGGGGGCTTCTTCGCGGCGCTCACACGTGCCCCCGCCCCGCCGCTCCCTGCTCGGCAGGTGCACCTCCACGCCCCGCCCCCGGAGGCGAGGCGGAGAGGCGCCGCTGCCGGTGGCCGGCGGCCGGGGGGCGTTGCCCTTTTTTTTTGCTTGCATTCTGCCTTTGTGTGGCTTCTGCTTCTTCTCTTCGGCTCCGCCCAACACACGCACCGGCGCGTGCATGCATGCGTTTGGCGCGCCCAGGCAAGCGTCTGCCGCGTTGAATGGTGAAGAGTTCCAGCCGCGTGCAGCGCCGGTTGGTGGAACGGGCGGCGGCCGTCCCCGCCTCTCCCGCGGGGCAGCCGCACGCGGATGGCGCTGCGAGGCACGGCGGGCCTCGCGGGCGTAGTGTTGGGGGCGCCGACGGGACCGCAGGGGCGCGGGCCTCGCCTGTCGAAGCCGTGAGGGAGACGCGGCGGCGGGAGTCTCGGCTGCGGCGGAAGGCGACGAAGAAGGGGCAGCGGTTGAGCGCAAAAGCAGGCGCGAGCGGCACCGGC